CGGGACTTTGTTCTCACAACAAGCACTTTACCAACTAACTCATCTCTTCAGCCTGGTTTTGTACATTTCTTATTTATTCTGAAATTCTTTTTTTTCAAGTTTATCTTAATGTTTATTTCTTAACTGCTAAGCCATCTCTCCAGCCCCTAATGGTTTCTTTCTTTTTTTATTAATTTATTTTTTACATAAATTACATATTTTTTTCAATCCCAGGACCCCCTCTCCTCTCCTCCCACTCTCTCCACTTCCCCCTCACTTCCCATCTGCTCCTCAGAGAGGTAAGGCCTCCCCTAGGAAGTCTACTAAGTCTGTCCCATCATCTCTTTGAGGCAGGACCAAGGCTCCTCTCCACCTCCACACCCCTGTGTCTAGGCTGAACAAGGTATCTATCCATATAGAATGGGCTTCACTAAGTCAGTTTGTGCATTAATGTTAGATCTTGGACCCACTGCCACTGGCCTCATATATTGTCCCAGTCACACCATTGTCACTTATATTAAGGGAATCTAGTTCAGTTTTATGCTGGTTCCCCATTTGTCAGACCTGAGTCAGTGATCTCTCAGTAGCTCGGGTCAGATGATTCTGTGGGTTTCCCCATCATGGTCTTGAATCCTTTGTTCATATTATCGATCCTCCCTCACTTCAATTGCACTCCAGAAGCTTGGTCCATTGGTTAGTTGTAGATTTCTGCATCTGCTTCCATCTGTTTCTCGAAGAGGGTTCTAGCCTCTCTGGGGTTGTGGACTGTAGGCTGGGTATCTTTTGCTTTATGTCTGGTATCCACTTATGAGTGAGTACATACTATATTTGTCTCTCTGATTTTGGGTTACCTCACTTAGGATTTTTTTTTTATTTCTAGTTCTGCCCATTTGCCTGCTAATTTTAGGATGTCATTGTTTCTTACCGCTGAGTAGTACTCCATTGTGTAAACATACCATATTTTCTTTATCCATTCTTTAGTTGAGGGGCATCTAGGCTGTTTCCAAGATCTGGCTACTACAAATAATGTTGCTATGAACATATTTGAGCAAATGTCCTTGTGGTATGAATGTGCCTCCTTTAGGCATATGCCCAATAGTAGTATTACAGGATCTTGAGGTAGGCTGATCCCTAATTTTCTAAGAAATCACCATATTGATTTCCACAGCAGCTGTACAAGTTTGCAATTCCACCAGCAATGGAGGAGTGTCCCCCTTTCTCCACATCCTCTCTAACAAGATATCATTGGTGTTTTTGATCTTAGCCATTCTGATTGGTGTAAAGATAAAATCTCAGAGTGGTTTTAATTTGTATTTCCCTGATGCCTAAGGATATTGAGCATTTCCTTAAGTGTCTCTCTGCAATTTGAGATTGTTCTGTTGAGATTTCTGTTTAGATCTGTACCCCAGTTCTTCATTGGATTATTTGGTAGTTTGACTTCTAGTTTCTTGAGTTCTTTGTATATTTTGGAGATTAGCCCTCTGTCAGATGGGGGGGGGGTGAAGATATTTTCCCATTCTGTAGGGAGCCATTTTGTCTTGTTGACTGTGCTCTTTGCTTTACAGAAGCTTCTCAGTTTCAGGAGGTCCCATTTATTAATTCTTGATCTCAGAGTCTGTACTACTTCTATTTAGGAAGTGGTCTCCTGTGCCTATGTGTTAAAATGTACTGAAATTCTTCTTGATTGACATTGCAAATAACTTTTCCTTCTATTGTTGTTTATTGATTGTGTAGATGCAGTCTATTCATTTTACTTTGGCTTTTTTGTTCTCTTGGTTGGGCTTTTTTCTGGTGTTTGCTTGTTTTATATAGTGTCTTACATAGTATAAGTGGGTCTCAAACTTGCTAATAGCTGAAGATGACCTTGAACCCTGCCGCTCCTTCCTCTCACTCCCAAGTGCTATATTACAGGCATGTGCCACCATGCCTGGCCCTGAGTTGATTCTACTATAGCATACATTCTTTCATTCCAGAAATATCAGAACATTGGTGAACAGACTGTTTTTTTATTAATTTTATATTTTGCTACCCATGGGATTCTTTTATTATTTGAATTAGTCTTATCTTTTATTTCCTGGGAAATTTCCTCCCATGTTGCATCAGAGGGTGCATAAAGAGACTTAATTGCACTGGGTAGAAAATCTAGTGTAGGTGAGCAGTTCCAAATGTGGACAGCCTTATCTTCTTCCTGACACTGTGAAGCACTAGAAGGGTTTCCCTTCTTTAAATTAGGTATTGGCAGGCTGAAGATGTAGTTGTGCTGACAGAATGCTTCTCCAGAAGTCACAGGCCCCTGCTTCAACCCGCAGAACGACATAACGCATGATACACATGAGGCCCAGGCAGAAGATGTGGACAACAGGACCAGAGGTGCGATTTTCTTATCTAATAGCTGGTGTGTTTAAATCTTACCTCTAATGAAGTCAACTTTAGCTACTGTCTTTCCCTAAAACTTTATAGAGCTAGAATTCCAAAAGACCTTTGGCTATCTTTGATTTGTTTCAATGATAATTTGTGCCTTAATTTTATTTTGTATATTTATATTTTATTTTTTTCTTGATCAAATTAATCAGCTGACTTATCTACTCTGGTTTATTATACTGTTTTACAATTCTCATTCTCATTAATTTCTGATTTATGTTATGATTTTATACTTTTGGGTTCCTATGGCTGTTTTGTAAATTTTCTGAGCTTGAAATTTTATTTCTATTCTTTCATTCTTATTGGTAGAAGTGTTTGGCTAAGAAATATTTGTCTGTTAACTGCTTTAAATATACCTTCTGTGTTCAAACATATACCATAGTTATTACTTCTGTAAAATTTTCTATCAATCTTTTAAATCCAAAATTCGTTTTATAATTTTCAAAATTTAAAACAGGACCTGTTTCCGGTTATGGTTAACTATTGAATTAGTTTTACAACACTTTGTAAGCATGGATGTTACACTTCTACCTGATGGAAGTTAATGTTTCTGAAAGTGCAGCCTGTTCTATATGACCTTATCTGCATACATACCTAATCTATGGAGTACATTAATTAGATCTTCTCTCTTTAATTATGTTTGTATATTAGAGCTGTTTTGAGCCATTAGGGAATGAGTTCTTCAATGAGTTGCAGTTCACATCTCCCAGAAGAGATTAAAGTTTTTTAAAAATAGAACGACAGTACAAGTTGACAAGGCAAGATAGAAACTGTAGAAGGTACTGCTGGTATGAATCCTATTTCATCTATTTCTGTGGTGACCGAATCCAGGGTGATGTACAAGCTAGGTCAGTGCTCTACCACTGCATCCCCAGCTTGTCTCTATTTACTAAGATGTATTACATAAAATTATACAAAGCAATGCGATGCCATGCGATGCTTTCATGCACACCATAAGTGTTCAATCAAGTTAAACAGGCCTACCTCCACACACACTTCTTGTTTATTTATAGCGAAAACACTTCAAGTACTTAATTCTAGCTTTGTTACAATATGTACTATTACCTGTAGTCCCTACTGTGCAACAGAACAGCACATATAATAATTTTTCTTACAGATACTCTAAGACATGACTCTAAGTACTATATTCCTACTAAGTAGTTGTATTTTTTTTTTATTTTGCCATGCTGGGGATCAACCCAGAGTCTCTGATTTTATCTACTTTTTTTTTTTGATAAGTATCATTGCCTAGGTTGGCCTCAACTTTATAAATTCTATATATTCTATATCAGCTTCCCAAATATTATTTCAGGCTATGATTTCAAGTATGTGATTCTCCATATGGCTTGCTTATGCATTCATTCATTCATTTTAAGGTGTTAGAGATCAAACACAAAGCCTTGCATAGAGTAGGCAAGCCCCTTGCGCTTCCAGTGTACTATACAGACCCCACAATGGGAAACAGTTTAGTAATGTCTTATAAAGACTATGTATGTAATTGGAATACAACCCAGGAATTACACCCTAGAAATCTGAGTCACAGAAATGAACATTTATGTTCACACAAAAATCTATACTATTAAAAGCCTCCATTGGGAAACAATTTAAATGTTCTTCAACAAGTAAATAATTATGCAAACAACAGTAGATTCATATTACAAAATGCTATTAAACACTAAGAGAAGTAACTCTTGATATATCAATGCTCACCAAAAAAGGCAGCTAGTGTTTCTCAGCAATGATAGAAAATGTTTCAAACTACATTTGTCTATGAATCAATAGGATTTTTAATTATCTCAAAGATTCAGAGGCTCAGATATTACACAGGTAAACTTCACAAATCTGTAAAATGACTGAGAACAATGTTTTCTTTTTTATATCTACATTTTTCTGTAGACATGGACCACAGCATCTCAGACAGAACTCATTAAATGCTAAGAACCACCACTCTGCAGACTCCTTAAGCAGAAAATGAAACACGAACCACAATACTTCCTGTGACTGATAACATATAAGTTCATCTTCTTTCTCTCTCTCTTCTAAGCACACAGCAGTCATCTGAGGCTGAGGCCCCCCTGCTTATCCCTACCACAATCATCTTTTAAAGTTCTATTTTCAGTTCTTTTTTAAAGACTGGGGTAGATAACAGGTTTAGCACTGGGTGGGGCCCTATGTTCAATCCTAGTAATACAAAAAATAAAATAAAAATAAATGAGTTCCAATTTCATCTTACAAATGAAAATGTTTAGAAAACATAATAATCATTTTACTGAAATCTTTCCTAATATATTTGTGTGCGGACTTACAGTGGATTTACAATAAGATAGCACCCCAATAATCCCACCGTATATCAAAGATATATTAAATATACCTAATCCACCATCTATCCCTGCTTAGCAACACAGCGCAATGTGAGGTCTCAGCGGTCTACCCTACAATCAGATGGCTGACCGTGAGCCATGGCTCTCAGCCAATGGCAGCATCACTAGTCCAGAAAAGATCAAATCCCAAAGTATGCTCATACTGGTTTATACCATCCTAAAGCCAAAAAGTCATGAACTGAAGCATCCTAAATTCAAGACATTCAAAATATGTCTTACATTTTTCAGGCCGGACATGAGAATAACTTCCAAGATTTAATAACTGACTGGTATATGTTGATTGGAGTACTGTCTCACCAATCCATTGGTCCTCATAAACAGTAACATCTAAAAACAGAACAAAACAAAATCTGGTCATGCCATGAACTCCTTTAGACTGTGAGCAACTAATCAAAGCAAAATATTATGCATACATTTCACATACTAGGCAACTAGAGTTCTGAGTTTGTGCCAGAAAGTTATACACATGACAACCAAAGAAAATACTACACTCCTCTACTGGGCTGCCCTCAGTAACAGAATTGGGTTATTCAGTTTCAAAGGGTGCCATTGTGGATGAGCATGCCTGAATTCAACACTATTTCACTAGGCCACAAGACAAGGTCATTTATGCACGGCATGCCAAAAATGAAACACGGTACAGATCCTTTATTAGTAGATTGAGAATCTATAATAGATGTGTTCATTGAGCTGTTCAGCTTGGTCACATATCATTGTGGCTTATCTCAAGAAAATATACCAGATATAAATATGATGGATCTGACTAAAGTAGCCCCCTTGATATATGGAGCTTACAGAATTCACATCATACATTCAACTAGATTGCTTTTAATGTTTTAGTCACATGGTGACAAGTACCATAGAAACACTGAACTGCACTGAGTAGTACTAGCAAACATCACAGTCATTAGTCTTCTGGAAGCTACAGCCCAGAATATCAGCAGTGGATCAGCATTTAATTTGACCAAGAGGAAAAAGCACACGATGATTGGTCATTCACAAAAGGCAAGGCAAAGATACAACTATCTTTCCTTAAAATGCTCAAAGTTAATAAGGAATGCTGTCAGAAAACAATGCTAGTAACTCCTTTCCTAGTTATTGGGCTGGCTGGGCTTACAGCAAGCCTAAATTCTGGTTCTTGTCTCATTAAAGAGCTATTGTATGGTGGGTTTGGGTTACAACTTTTTTCAGTCCTTTTTTTATTCTCTCAGTACATTGTCTCTTGGGATATACTTGGCACCCAGTTTCTAAATGTTCTGCTTAGGGAATGATGTTAAGTTTTTATTTGTCTTCTATTCCTAGCCAATAGTGGTATACTATTCTGCAATTCTGGAAAAATTTGAAAATCAGATCCAGGGATTTTTAAAGCTAAAGAAGAACAAAAGAAAAATTAATAGCTGAACAACAGAGACAAGATGTCTGGATTCCAGCATATTCTACAGTACCTGTATGATTCAGAAAGCAATGAGTTATAAACAATGAGGTACATCCAACTGCTGAAAGTGAAATTTAATCATCACTGCTCATGGGTGGGTAACTGTGTAGGTGTAAGCAACCACAGATACTTTATTCTACTTGGAATGATCTACTAGATGACTTATGATTGTATTTCTCACTGAGGACTTGTCTTACATTTGCTTCCTACTGCTATGACAAAGACCAGGGAAGAAAGGGTTTAACCCAGTCTTTCAGCTTACAGTTTTTCATTGAGGGAAGTTGGGCAGAAACTAGGGGGGCGGGAACTGAAGCAGAGACCAGGTGGAATACTGCTTACTGGCTTGCTCTCCACAGCTGACTCTCCACTGCTTTGTCCAGCCTGCTTTTTTATACAACCCAGGACCACCTGCTTAAGAATGGCACCATCCACAGTGGGCTGGGTCCTTCCACACCAATCCTTGTTGAAGAAAATGCCCCACAGGCCTACCTACAGGCCAGTCAGATGAGGGCATTTTCTGAACTTAAGCTCCCTCTTCTCTGGTGACTCTATAGTTTGTAATAAGTTGATAAAAATACTAACCAACACAGTACTTCACTGTGAAACCAGTTATATCACAGATGGATTTTAGACATCTGATATTCAAACTACCACATGTTCATCTTGGAATATACACATATACACACGTACATAGACACAGACACAGACACAGACACAGACACACACACACACACACACACACACACACACACACACCCCACACTTGAGACAGGGTCTCACTATGTAGTTCTGGCTGTGCTGGACCTCACTACATAGACCAAGCTGGGATCCGTCTGACTCTACCTCCTGACTGCTGGGATTAAAGGCATCAGCTACCATGACCAGCTGTTTTAGATACTGCCAAACAGCTTTTCATTTCATGTTGGTGACTATAATATTCGCATGTCAGATATAACAAATATCACATTCAAGTATTACTACAAACAAAAGAATGATGGGCTAGGGATGTAACTTAATGGCAGAGTATCTGCCTAGCACTGTGTGGCCCTAAATTCTTAGGGATTAAATGAAACAAAATTACTAGCATGCCAGTAATCTTAGTACTCAGGAAGCAGAAGCAGGATGACTAGCAGGAGTTTGAGACCAGCTTGGGCTATAGAGTAAGACTCTGCCTCAAAAAATAAAAAAGGAAGCAGGGCATGTTGGCACATGCCTTTGATCCTAGCTCTCGGGAGGCAGAGGCAGGTGATTTCTGAGGTTCGAGGTTAACCTGGTCTACAGAGAGTTCCAGAACAGCCAGGGCTATACAGAAAAAACCCTGTCTCAAAAGAAAGAGGGGGGGCATTCATTAAAACAATAATCTAACTGTGCTATAATAGAAAAAGAACAGTTAAATCAATTCCAGCAGTCACTTGATGTTACCTATTTGTAAACAACTGTGTGGATGTTGGGCTGTTTCTACTCACCTAGAAAAGGTCTATGAGAAGACCACGCAGTGAAATGACCTTGAGATAAAATGGCCTTGACTGAAAGTGGCCACAGCGCAGGTCCATTCGGTCTCCTCTTTACTGTTGGGGAAACCTAACTCCTTCAGTACCCGAATTCCAAATTTGTAAAGAGTCAGGGAGAGCAAGAATGCAAGGTCACCCTCAGCTGAATAGAACAGAAAACTCAAGGCCAGCCTGGGCTACATGAGACTGTTGCAAAACAGCAACCCAAAGGCCACCCACATCTGTGTCTGTTCCTTCAGTAAGGGTTTAATGTACACAGCATTACTGGAGTGAAGTGGCAGAAACACTGTCTTTTCGTAATAACACCTCGGATAAAGTAAAGGAGTTAATAGAAACCACATAGACATAAAAGGACCAAAAGACACCTGGCGGCGGTGGTGCGACTTTAAGCCCAGCACTCTGGAGGCAGGGCAGGAAGCGGATCACTGAGTTCGAGGCCAGTCTAGTCTACAGTTCCCGGACAGCCAGGGCTGCACCGAGAAACCCTGTCTCAAAACAAACAAGACAGCAAAAAGGAGCCCCATGATAGGACTTCAACTGTCACGTGATGGGTGATTATGAGAAACAACCAGGAAGGCTTCTCAAGGAGAAACGAATGGGAAGGCAGCACAGCACAAAGGGAACTAACGCCCACAGAAGCACACTCTACAAGGGGTCACACACAGGGAAAGCAAAACGCAAAGAAAGAGCCCTGGGAGACAAGAAACAGAAAACACGGCTTTACAAAGCAAGCTACCACTATACTTGATGACCTTACCTGTAAGCAAAATTATATCCCCAAGAAACACTGTAAGTGCCCAGAATGCAGCAGTCCTCCACAGAACAACTCTTTTCTTCATTTCTGACTGATCGATTACAACAACTGTTGCTAATGGCACTTTAGAACCAGAATTTGGTCCAGATTTTATGCTTATTTCCTTCACATGGTATGTGTTCAGTACCATAGCTAAGCAGTTATACTTCTGACTTTTAGAGTCACAATTTTTTATTAATGATATTTTTCTGATGGCCTTGCATTCAGACATGGTCCTCTGGGGCACTGCTGTGGCTAACTCTCCTGTTTTAGAATCCATCCTTGGTTTCTTGGACACTTGATGGGCTTCCAAAAGAGCTTTAGAATGATGGGAACTTTCGTTAGAGGACCAGCCTCTTTTAGCAGCACTTAGGTGGAAGGTACTTAGTTGGGAACACAGTATCCCTGAGTTACACCACTCAATGCAAACCTCATTTGGTGGCAGGTTTGCTTCATTGCTGAAAAGATCTTTCGAGCTTATATTGTCTTCAAGGCTTTTTCTAGGGTTTCTGTGAATGTGGCTGCTTTCTGATTCGGGACAAACAGGACTAAAAAGTTCCAAGGAATACACCTGGCTTGGCTCACTTCCAGATCCTTCTTCAGAATCTGCACTGGGCTTAACAAGATTATCTTCAGCCCGTATTCCTTCTGGACTTCCTGTAGGCTCCATCTCCATGTTTATAGTGCCTTTATTTACATAATCCTGCCCTTTATTATCCCCTTGAGTTAGAAAAGCACGCTGGCTGGAGGTCATTATACTGAGAAATTCAGTGTCAGTAGATATTTTCTGGTCTAAAGTCTTCCCACCTGTTCCCTGAGACTCTGGCTCACATCTTGTGCCAGAGGAAAAGATCTCCTGAATCTGTCTTTCACGTTCGGGCAGCACAGGACTTGTTCTCACAGTTTCTGGTCCTATATTAGTCTGCCCAGTACTACAGCCCAAATCCAATTCAGCGGCACATTTATGATCTAACGGAAACAAATCCGCTTGAAAGTTCTGAACGCAGGTGTTGAGCTGATTTTTAGATTGCTCATCTTTCTTCTTATTTTCACACTGAAGCTTTTGATTTTTTTCTTCTTCAGGTAAACGCTGACCTCCGTCCTTAAATTCACATATTTGCGCATCAGTCGTATCACTCCGACCTGAGGGGTTGATCTTCTGGGACTTTACACTATGTGCTTCAGAAGAGACGCAGCCATCTTCCACCTGCGCAGGCCCATCCACACAAGTTGTTAAAAGGTGACCACTGAGGAGATCTGGAGGGCCAACAGCTTCTGGGACTTGGTAGTCTTTCACATTTTTAAGCTCCTGGTTTTCAGCCTTCAGATCTAGAGACTGTTGTCTGCAAAAAAGCTGGATTTGTTCCCAGGAATTGGCAGTGGACATTAAGGAAGCTGTTCCCTGTGATATCGTCATTTTCAGAGGAGCAACTGGAGCGCCCCAGAAAATGTGAACTTGAGATCCTCGACTCATAATTTCTGATAAAAATAAAAATTTAAAAATTAATTTATTAGTATATTCTTCTATATGACAAAAACAAACCATTAATCAAAAACATGCAGTTTAGTTTGGTATGCTACTTAATTATAAAATTAATTTTAAAAATTACAAGAAAACCAGCCAGGCACCTTTAATCCTATCACTCTGGAGGCAGAGGTAGGCAGATCTCTGTGAGTTCAAGGCCAGCTTGGTTTACAGAACAAGCTCCAGGACAACCAAGGCTACACAGAGAGACCCTGTCTCAAAGAAGAAGAGGAGGAGGAAGAGGAAAAAGAGGAAGAGGAGAAAGTGAGGGAGAAAAGGGAAGGAGGAGAAGGAGGCAGTTCCTCCAGCTGCCTGCCGACGTAGATGCAGAACTCTTAGCACCCTGTCTGCCTGCATGCTGCCTCGCTGCCCGCCATGAGATAATGGACTGAAACTCTAAACTCACAGTCTTGGACCTGCACACACCAGGACAGGTCACTGCCAGGCCTTCTCCTACCCACCTTTCCCCATTGGCGTCCCCTGACCTGCGGCCCCCAGTCCCATCCCACCAAATCTCCCAGAGAGACCTGGAGGCAAACCGAGCCATCCAGCATCTGCCACCATTGCAGTCTTGGACCCTCATCCACCAGGACAGGTGAGTGCCAGGACAGGTGAGTGCCGGGCCATCTCCTGGCCACCTTTCCCTGTTGGAGTGCCCTGACCCTTGGCCCCAGACCTCTCCCGCCAGCGAATCCCCCAGAGAGACCTGGAGGCAGACCAAACCATCCAGCATCTGCCTGCACCCATGGGGAGAGAGTCTTGGACCTGTACTCACCAGGAGAGGGAGAGACCCCAGCTGCACCCACTGGAAGAAGGCATGGGAAGATGAGTATATAAGAACACAGTCAACAACAGAAAGATCAACATGACAACACCAGAGTCGAGGGACTCCACACCAACAAGACCTGAGCATCCCAACACAGATGAAACAGACAGAACGACCCTAAAAACAAGTTTATGAAAACGATAGAGGCCCTCAAAGAGGAAATGAGAAAATCCCTTAAAGACAAACAAAAAAAATGGAAGAAATCAACAAATCTCTTAAAGAAAGCAAGGAAAGCCAAGAAAAAAAACAATCAAACATATGAAGGAAATAATTCAAACAGTTTAAGACCTGGAAACTGAAATAGAGACAATAAAGAAAATACAAACTGGGGGAATGTTGGAAATAGAAAATCTGGGTAAATGATCAGGTACTACAGATGCAAGCATAACTTAGAGAATACAGGAGACAGAGAAATCAACAAGATAGGCAAACCTTTATCCAAACTAACCAAAAGGCAGAGAATGAACGTGCAAATTAACAAAATCAGAAATGAAAAGGGGGACATAACAATGGACACTGAGGAAATCCAGAGAATGATCAGGTCATACTTTGAAAACATGTACTCCTGGAATCGAATTGAACACCCTGATATTAACCCATACACGTATGAACATCTTATTTTTGACAAAGAAGCTAAAAATATACAATGGAAAAAAAGAAAGCATCTTCGACAAATGGTGCTGGCATAACTGGATACTGGCATGTAGAAGAATGCAGATAGATCCATGTCTATCTTCATGCACAAAACTTTAGTCCAAATGCATCAAAGACCTCAACATAAATCTAGCCACACTGAACCTGTTAAAAGATAAAGTGGGAGTCACCCTTGAACAAATTAGTACAGGAGACCGCTTCCTGAACATAACTCCAGTAGCACAGACACTAAGATCGACAATTAATAAATAGGACCTCCTGAAACTGAGAAACTTCTGTAAGGTAAAGGACACAGTCAGCAAGACCAAAAGGCAACCCACAAATTGGGAAAAGATATTCACTAACGCCACATCTGAAAGAGGGCTGACCTCCAAAATTTACAAAGAACTCAAGAAGCAAGTGTCCAAAACACCAAAGAATCCAATCAAAAAAGTGGGCTACAGCACTGCATAGAGAATTCTCAGTAGAGGAGACTAAAATGGCTGAGAGGCACTTGAGAAAGTGCTCAACATCCCTAGCCATCAGGAAAATGCAAATCAAAACAACTCTGAGATACCATCTCACTCCTGTCAGAATGGCTAAAATCAAAAACACCAACGACAGTTTATGCTGGAGAGGATGTGGAGAAAGAGGAACACACTACACTACTGGTGGGAGTGCTGACTTGTATAGCCACTTTGGAAATCAGTATGGAGATTCCGCAGGAAAATAGGAATCAGTCTACCACAAGACTCAGCAATTCCACTCTTAGGCATATACCCAAAGATGCACATTAATACAACAAGGATGTCTGTTCCACTACGTTCATAGCAGCATTATTTGTAATAGCCAGAACCTGGAAGCAACCTAGATGCCCCTCAACTGAAGAGTGGATAGAGAAAATGTGGTACATTTACACAATGGAGTACTATTCAGCGGGGGGGAAAAATGGGATCTTGAAATTTGCAGGCAAATGGATGACACTAGAAGAAACCACCCTGAGTGAGGTAACCCAGTCACAAAAAGAGAAACATGGTATGTACTCACTCATTCATGGATTTTAGACTTGAATCAGGGGGAGTGCCAGCATACAGTCCCACTGCCAGAGAGTCTGGGAAACAGAACCTTCATCCAGTGACTGATGAAAACAGAGGCAGATACCCACAGACAAACACTGAACTGAACTCCTGGAATCTAGTGTCAGAAAGAGGGAACTGATGGGCAAAGGAGTTAAGACTGGGCTGGTTTAACCCACAGAAACAGTTGACCTGAACAAGGGGGAGCTGTTGAACCCCAGATTGATGGCTGTGTGGAAAGCATGGGACTGACTATGAATGTTGGTGTCAGTGAGGGAGGCCTAGGTAATCTATGGGGCCATGGGTAGTACTTATCCCTGGCAAACAAATAGACTTTGAGTGCTCATGCCACAATATGGGAGGCTCTCTCAGCCAGGACTCTTGGGGGGAGGGCCTAGGCCCTGCCCTGGATGAAATGACAGTCACTGGAGATCTACAGTGGAGGGTCTCAACCTCCCTGGGGATCAGAGTGGAGATTGGGGGACCTGGTGGGGAGGGCAGGGGAGGAGGGGAGGGAGAGGGAGCTGGGATTGACATGTGAAACAAGATTGTTTCTAACCTAAATAAAAAATAATAATAATAGAGCCGGGCGTTGGTGGCGCACGCCTTTAATCCCAGCACTCGGGAGGCAGAGGCAGGCAGATCTCTGTGAGTTCGAGGCCAGCCTGGTCTACAAAGTGAGTTCCAGGACAGCCTCCAAAGCCACAGAGAAACCCTGTCTTGAAAAACCAAAATAATAATAATAATAATAATAATAATAATAAAAACTTCTCTTGACTACAAGGATCAAACTCAAAAAGAAAAAAAAAAAGATTAGAGTTAACTTCTTTGACCAAAAAAAAAAAGAAAACTTGTACTCCACAAAATTGGAAAATTTAAAGGAAATGGACAATTTTCTGGATAGATATCAATTACCAAAATTAAATCAAGAAGAGATAAGCAATTTAAATAGACCTAATGAAGTAGAAGCAATCATGAAAAGCCTCCCAACCAAAAAGAGCCCAGGGCCAGAATTTCAGTGCAAAATTCTACCAGAAATACAAAGAAGAGCTAATAACAGTACTCCTCAAAGTGTTCCACACAATAGAAGCAGAACAGTCATTGCCAAACTCTTTTTTTTTTTTTGAGGCTACATTTACCTTGGTACCCAAACTACACAAAAACACAACTAAGAAAGAGCACTACAGACCAATTTCCCTCATGAACATTGATGCAGAAATACTCAATAAAATACTGGCAAATTGAATCTAAGAACACATGAGAAAAATCATCCACCACAATGAAGTAGGCTTCATTCCAGAGATGCAGGGATGGTTCAACATACAAAAATCTGTCAATGTAATTCACCACATAAACAAACTCTCTCAGTAAGTTTTGAACCTCTTCTGAACTCAATTTCAAAAACAAAATAGAAGACTCAAACTGAAAGACAAAGAACAAGTTGGTTTGTTTTTTGTTTTGTTCGTTTCTCTGTGTAGCCTTGGCTGTCCTGGAAGTCACTCTGTAGACCATGCTGGTCTTGAACTTGCAGAGATATGTCTGTCTCTGACTCCTGAGTGCTGGGATTAAAATCATGCATCACCTGCCAGGCATGGTCTTAACGCAGTTCAGATGCTATATATCCTAGGATGACTTTGAATTCCTAATCTCTTCTACCTCCCAAATGCAGGGTTTGTAAGTGTGCATTACCATGCCCAGCTCCATCTTTTCTAAAATACAAACAAGCTCAAATCGATGGTAACAACTATATAATACATAAAAAGAAACTCATAATTTAAACTCTTTCCCATAAACTATAGCATCTGGTGTAAGTAAATCTGAGAAAACATCCTATTGGTTGGTAAAGAATCTTATCAATTGATCACTTGTTCATAACTGACTTAATTAAACAGATCTACTCCTAGAATTCACTAAAAAGCACTAATGAGTACAGTATGGAGGCAAAAGGCAGGTAAGGTTTTGAGCATGAGGCACTTTTGGACTGAATCATCACTTATTCTTATTACAAACTGGGGGTGGGGAAGATTATCTGAACGGTGGTCTTGTTTTAAATTCATTACCATTACTCCCAAAGTGAATCACAGCAATCCTGTCCCTGCCTACACAATAGCTTTTGAAATAATTCTTTTATATCTCTTCACTGTAAATTTCCAGCATCCCCTGTCCTCACATCTCACATACATCAGGTGACCATATTACCAATTTCTTTCACATTTACCAATATGACTCCATGGGATCTAACTTCCTGTTACTATGGCTGAGCTCTCACACTGTGTGTGTGTGTGTGTGTGTGTGTGTGTGTGTGTGTGTGTGTGTGTGTACAGAAGCACATGAAGAGGCCAGAGAGAGACACTTAGTATCCTCTACTGTTCTCCCCTTATTTTTCTAAACAGCTTCACTGAATCTGAAGTTTGTTGTT